AAACCTAAAGTAACCACATAAGATATGGTCTTACAGTTTTCTACCTAAAAGTGAGTCATGGTGGATATGTCTCTTAACTAAGGTCAATCTTTGCCTTAACTGAGCCTGCCCATTGTCTTTTTGCAGCTACAATAATGGCAGAGTAATCCCTCTCTTCCAGACACCCTCAGGGCACAATCTCCCACCAAAACAGTAGACCACAAAACCCCTCATTATTCGTACGTTATTGGACTACATAACATCTCTATGTGCTGTAAATATTCATTAACTATCCTGTACCCACCAATGTAAAAGAAGTATTTGTTTCTTCATTTCACTTTTGGTCCACTCTCAAGACATTTCCGGGCTTTGCTTTCTCTTGCCTCCCAATGGGCTTTACATACCCTTTTACGCCTCCTCCTTTGCACCGTAGAAAGTTAGGGTGCAAATCTGTCATTCTCAGGAGCATTTTTCTCAGTCGGTTGAGATTTTGCTTCCTGGAAATTGTCGTTAGTTTGCCTCAACTAAACAAAAAAAATTTTTTTTTACAGGTTTGGACATTTCTTAGGTGGACGTAACACTTTGGAATCTCAGAGCTAGTCTCCCGGCCACTGAGAATTCTAGGTCCTGATGTCTCCGCGCGTTGGGTGAAGGGCGGAGTTGTAGCTTCTGCCTTTCCGGGACCCAGGACTGTGGAAGTACCCCCTTCGGCCCGCCAGGAGTTGAGAAGTTCAGGCTTGCGGGATATCGGCCTTTCCGCCGAGGAAGCGGGAGGCCCGGGTGTGTGGGTCACAAGCTCGTGGGGGCGGGGCCCGGACAGCTCTGTGTCCTCAGACCAAAGAAGGCAAGAGGCGGCCAGACCCACCCTGGGGCGGGGAGCCCGGAAACAGCCTCGCGTCAGTGCCCGCGCCCCGCCCCCCGCCCCCCTCCACCCCGGCCTCTTCCCCGTCGACCCCTCTTCCTTCTTGACCCACTCTTTTTCCTCTCCCCCCCTCCCCGCGACTCCCCTCGGTTCTCTCCACATCCTCACCCCTCCCCTCCCTCTCAGTTCCACCTCTTTACCCCCTCTTTTCTTTCCTTCCAGTTCCCCTTATCCTCCCCCTTTCTCCCGCCCCTACCCTCTCCATCCTTTCCCTCCCTCCTGCCCTCATTCTTCGTTCTCCCCTCAACTGCACCTTCCCTTCCCACCCCTCTGCTCCCTCTGCCCTCCTCCAACCCGTTACCCAGAGTTAGCATTCTCCCTCTCCTCCTCCCCTCCTGCTCCTTCCTCTTCTCCTTTCCCACCTCCCCTCCCGGCCCTCTCACCCCTGCTTCGCCCTCCCCCGTGCCCAGCGGCAGGCCTTTTGATCTTTTCCTGGAAACTCCCCCTAATGTGGGAAAGGGCTGTGGTCCCCAAACGGAGGAAAAGAGGGCTGGGAAAGATAGAAACCAAGAAGCCTAAAGACACTGGGGAGGCCAAGAGGAAGAGCAAACCTTGCAGAGACATTTACAGATACTGAAAGAACAAGAAACAGACATCTCTGGTCCTTCTCTTACCCAAAAATGCATTCTGTCCCTTCTCAAAAAAAAAAAATCATTTAAAAAAATGGCACCTACCACCAGCTACAAATGCCAAATACCTGGGAGTCCCCTTGACTTGTCTCTCAAATCCACACCCCAGTCCAACAGCAATCCTCTTTGATTCACTTCGTCCTCTGGCCTTTACCCTGGTTTTATCTCCATCACCTCTGAACCTGAACCTCTGCCCTCAGTCTCTCTCCACTGCCCCACTAGACAACCAAAGGGAACCTGTCATGACACCTGAGTCAGATCACACAAAAGCCAAAGTCCTAAATTCTTACCAGTTTACACGGACTGACTCTCTCTTTGCTCAATCTTGCTGTAGCCACACTGTCTTCCTAGCTGCTCCACAGTAAGTGTATCTGACATGCTTCATTCAGCTGCAGGGCCTTTGTGCTGGCTGTGGCACTCTGCGTGGAATCCCGCCCCCCAGGCGCCCCAGTCACTCACTCCCCTCTTTCAGTTCTCTGTTCAAATGTCTCCTCAGTGAGAGGTCCCTGACTACTCTTAGTTCAGCCCACACCCCACCTCCCATTCCACCATCCTTCTTACCTTGCCGTACTTTTTCCATGACATTTATCACCACCTAACATATGAAATATAGTTGGTTCCTATGTGTATAGAAATCTGCCTCCCCCACTAGAATGTCAAGTCCTTAGGGACAGAGACTTGGTCTTGTGCACTGCAATAGTATCACTAAACCCTAAGTAGCAGTTGGTCATAGAGTGGATGTTCAGTATTTGTTGAGAAACACAAACTGATTTGGAAATGGGGAGGGAAAGAGTTAAAATTCCAAAACACACAAGAAATTAGTGACTACTTGAGATGATGTGTGTTAACTAAACTTATTGTGACAATCATTTCACATTTTATACATAAATCATGTTGTACACCTTGAACCTATGCCATACAGCATTATGTGGCAATTATACCTCAGTGAAACTGGAAAAAAAAATCCAAGACAGAGAAGGAGGCAATGCCATAAACACTGTTTGCAGAGGACCCACAGCCTGACACATCTGCACAAGCCCTTTTTTAAAAACTATAATCTTCATTATATTTTTCCATTACCATTTAGCCCGCTGATACACCTCACCCCAGGAATCACCACGCTGTTGCCCACATCCATGAGTCCTTACTGTTTTGCTCAATCTCTCCACCCCTTACACCCCCCACTAGCTGTCATCTGTTCTCCATCTCTGAGTCTGTCTCTGTTTTTCTTGTTAGCTGAGTTTGTTTGTTAGATTCCACATATGAGTGAAATCATATGGTAGAAAGACAAATATGTCTGTCTCTGCACAACTCAAACTGAGATTTGCAAGTTCAATGAAGTGTGCAGGCATCTAAGAGGCAATACCACCCTCTGGCGGCCAAGATAAAAACGACACTTCCCCCCGCGATGCATAACACTTCTTAACCGATGATCGCTAGAGTCCCGGGGGTCTTTCCAGTCCGAAAATCGAAATGTCCATTCCTTTAAGTAAGGCGTATTTTTGGTTGATTTGTAAAATGTCTTAAGTTTATAGAGGCTGATGAGAGAAAACTGAAACTGCTCCAGGTGAGGATCGAACTCACAACCTCGGCATTGCTCCGCTGTGCACTGTCTTATAAGTACCGCGCGCTAACCGATTGCGCCACTGGAGCTCCGGCCGCACCCTCTCGTCGTGGGGTCCTTCAGTTGCTTTTGACCACGTGACCTCCCCCGGACAGCTCCGTTTTATATTGTATATGCAAATCGAAATATTTTGATTGGCCAATAGGAGAAAGGGGTAACCAGTTCCGAATTCTCACGCCTGGAAGGCCTTTGCTGAAAAAGGGAAATGTCCGCGAGGCATTTGGAATGTGGGAGTGTAACCTGCCTGGGACTGGCCTTCTCATGAATATTCAGAATCCAAAGAGGTGGTTTTAACTCTTTCCTGGCTGGCCGGCCGGAAGGCGGCCCCTCCCCCCCGCGGGCGGGAACAGGATGTGAGCCCAGGCGCCTAGGGGGAGGGTAAGCCCCAGTCAACCGCCCCCAGTCTCACAGCTGGGATCAGACACTCCCGCCGCAGAAGCGGCGCTGGCACCCCAGCCGCTTTAGCCGGGTGCCACCCATCCTGCAGCTTCAGGGGTCCAGAGTCACGGACTCCGGCTTTCCGAGAGTCTGCACTGCATCCTGAGAGACCCAGAAGCACAGGCTTTCGCCTACAGGTCAAAGGACCCCAGATTCCAACTTCCCAGCGCCTTCCCAGAAGTCCGGGACATCAGCCCCGAGCGACCGTGGAGGGCGAGCTCTTTGCACCCCGGTTTGAAGAATTTAGGATCCCCTACCAGAGATACCATCCAGGAATTCCCAGGAGAAGCTTGTATTATGGGCGTCTAGCACCCCAGCAAGTCTGTTTGGGGCAGAAGCGCCCACTACTTCAAAGGGACCCAGGATTTTGGGACTCCCGTGCACTCCCGCCTGGAGGTAGTTTAATTCCTACTCTTAGAGTTAGGAAAACTCAGGAGTCCGGGCTGCCTACGGCCATATCTGGAAGTCACAGGATTTGGGTCCCCAGCATCCCCATCGGAGACTCAAGAGTCAGGCTTCCAGCAACCTGCATGTAGGAACCAGGAAATTCGGACCGCTGCACCCCATTTTCCAAGAGACCTCGGATTCTGGGTCCTGGAGCCCTCCTGCCGCTGACTTTCAGAGAGACCCAGGGACCCAGGAGCCGGCTCTGCGCCTCCCTGGGGACCATGCTGAGGGTCGAATAGTAGCTGGGTTGCCTCGGTTCGGGGCTGGGGACTCCCGGAGAGGTGAGGAGGGAGGCGAGAGGCCTGGACCGGCTGGGGGAGGGGGCAGCGCCGCTGCTGCTAAACAATGAGGGGGCGTGCCGGCGGGGGGCGAGCGGAGGCGCTGGCGGGAGTTTGGGGCTGGCGGAGATAGGAAGGCGCTGGGGTCTGAAAGCCGGTCGCAGGGGGACTGGCTGCAGGGAGATCGAGGGCTCAAGGCCAGCGCCCCACCTCACAGCTCTCGGTGGGGGAGGGAGCCGTCTGCGGGACCCCGGCATCCGGTCCCCCAGCCTCCTCCGCCCTCCCCTGGGACCCCGCCGCCTCCCGCCCACGGCTTTTCCCAGCCCTGCCCCAAGCCTTCGTCTCCAGCCGGAGTCCAGCCGGAGCCCAACCCTTCCCAGGATCCCTGAGCCTCCGGCCCCAGAGTGACCGGACTGCTAGTTTCAGCGACTCTTGCTATCTTCACTGTTCTTTGTCTCAATCTTTCCATTTTTTTCTGTGTTATCTCTTTTTGCCCCATCCTTCTATCGCTTTGCTTCTGTCTACCCCATGAGAGGCCCTTCCCTGGGTTTAGACCACACCCCTAGTTCTCAGCCCCCAATCTATGAGTGTGGGCGGCAGGGAGGCCTACGGGGTCCTGATATCCAATAAGGGGGTCTTTCTGCAGAAGCGGTTGAGCCACTCAGCCATGCCAGAGGGAGCCCGGGGACTGAGCCTGTCCAAACCCAGCCCTCGCCTTGGCCCCTGCCGCAGAGGTGAAGTGTGTGACTGTGCAACTGTGTGTGAGACTCAGACAGGTGAGCACGCAAGGGAGGGGCAGAGCCTGCTGGACATTCATGCCTTTATTCAAGACACAGTGCAGCCCTCTGTGGCTGGCCCGGTGCCAGGTTATGCTGGCAACACAGGGTGACCGAGACAGTCCCAGGCCTGCCTGCACAGAGCTGCAGGCCTGGTGGGGGGGGGGTGGAGTTGGGCCCATCCCTAGACATTGAGAGTTCACAGGGATATATATCCCAGGGCAGAGTGGTCAGAGCTGGGATTGAGAAAGCTTCAAGGGGCCGTGGGAGCCTAGTCGGGGAGGTCAGGGGAGGCTTCCTGGAGACGGGACCATCTAAACTGAAAACAGAGCTCTGATCCGTGTGGCTCGGTTTGTTGGAGTGTGGTCTGTAACTGAAGGGCGGTGGGTTCAATCCCTGGACTGGGTGGGTACCACCCCAGGTCCAGGTGCTGACAGGGGGCGACCAATGGATGTTTCTCTCTCGTTCCCCTCCTCTCTCTCTCTAAAAAGCGATAAAAAAATTTTCTCCTCAGATGGAAATTTTTAAAAAGAAATTAAGAAATATATATAAATAGACTGAGGAGAGTAAGAAGTATGAATTGGGAAAGGCAGGGAAGAGCACTCCACACAATGAGACCAGTGTGTGCGAAGGCCAAGAGGTAAGAAGAGGCTGCTTCTTTAAGTAACTGAAAGAAGCTAAGTGTGACTGGAGACTGGAGTGTAGAAAGTGGCCTGGCTGCGGGAAGAGCACGTCCCGGAAAGGTCTCTAAAGACTGCCTTGCACAGAGTCTTTCGACTTGAGGAGTTTGCACTTCATCCTGAGGGTATGAGGGGGTTATAGTCGTGGGAGTGACCGAGTCAGACAGGCAAATTAATAAAGATATCCTAGGCCGATGTATGGATATGGACTAGAGAGGCGGAGGTCAGAAGCCCAGAAAGGACCCTGATGGGAGAGGACAGGACTGGCCCAAGGCAGCACGGTAGGAAGAGGAGGAGGGAGCCGTGGGAGAGATACTAAGTGTGGGTGAGTATGGGGGCTGAGAGCACTCACTTTACCCAGCTGGGGAGACCCCCTGACCTCCTGTTCCACATCCCCAGCAGTTTCCGCAACCCCTGCCATGGCCTCCCCACGAGGTTCTGGGAGCTCCACATCCCTGAGCACAGTGGGCTCTGAGGGGGACCTGGCCCCGGGGCCCACCCCTGCCTGTACAGCCTCCAGGCCAGAGCCCCTTCCAGGACCCCCCATCCGCCTGCATCTGTCGCCTGTGGGGACCCCCGGGTCTGTGAAACCCTCAAGGCTGGAGCGTGTGGCCCGTGAGATTGTGGAGACAGAGCGGGCCTATGTCCGAGACCTCCGCAGCATCGTAGAGGTGAGGCCAGAGGGCACCTGAGCACAGTGGGGACCCAGGCCGGTTCCTCTGCCCCAGTGACCCCAGTCTTTCTCACAGGACTACCTGGGCCCCCTGCTGGATGGCGGGGTCCTGGGGCTGAGTACAGAGCAGGTGGGCACGCTGTTTGCAAACATCGAGGACATCTACGAGTTCAGCAGGTCAGCAGTGGGTGGGCTGGGCCGGGGTGCGGGTTGGTGGACCATGGGAGGAGGGCTAGGTTCGAACCCAAAGCTTGGAGCCCCGCAGGGCCTGGTTTAGGCTCATCCATGGGGTGTCGAGACATTAGGCAGGGATCACAGTGGGGAGGAAGGATCCAGGGTGGTGGAGGAGTGGAGGGGCAGAGCCCGAGGATCCGGGTAAGGTCCAAGTCCAAATAAGGAGACAGAGCCAGGCATCGGGATGGAGCTCAACACTGTCAGACGTGGGAGCACGATGAATCCGAGGCTCAGGTGGGGCCTGAAGATCATGACGGTGTGAGCTCGTGTGTTCTGGGGACCCCTCAGTCCTAGACAAACCAGGATGGTTGGTCCCCAGTGAGGAGGACGCTGGACTCCCAAGAATCAGGACACTCGAGAGTCCTGGCAAGATCGTGAGATTATTGCAGGAGGTCTGAGAGTCAGGACAAGATCTCAAGATTGCAACAAGAGCTTAAGATCATCACATCTCTGAAGGTTATGACACTGCTATCCCTGGGTCACGGCATGAGACACCCAGGCTCAGGCCAGCTATGACAAGATTTCAGGCTGAGGAATGTGACCAGGGTAGCCCAAGGAAGTCGGAGCGTGTTGTGTTCCGTGTAGGCATCAGAGAACTCTAATTCAGGACACGGCATCCCCTAGAGAGAGCCTGGCCGCCACCCAGCCCCTACCCAGCCTCCCCTAGGCCTCCCCTGTGGGCACTGTGGGGCAGGGCAGTCCCTCACCCTTTCCTCTCCCTACAGCGAGCTCCTGGAGGAGCTGGAAGGCAGCAGCAGTGCAGGGGGCATTGCGGAGTGCTTCGTGCAGAGGGTGAGTCCGGGGGCCAGTGCTCTGGGCTGGCCCCTGGGTGAGTGGGGAGCCGGCCTGTGCAAACAGGTCATGGAGAGTCTGAGGTCTCCCTGACTCCCCTGTCACCTGCAGAGTGAGGATTTTGACATCTACACATTGTACTGCATGAACTACCCGAGGTATGGGGTCCCAGGTCGTGCCCATGAGCTGATATACCACCCAACCTCCCTCTGTCCAACTCATCCGGCTCCAACCTCTGCTAGACGGTGACAGTAACTGAACTCCCTAATCCTTCCCTAACCCCTGCCAGCCTCCAACCCCTCCTAGCCCTGCCCACCAGAATTGCCAGCCCCTCTGACCTGTGCTGCTGTGCCCCCAGCTCCCTGGCCCTGCTCCGGGAGCTCTCGCTGTCTCCACCAGCAGCCCTTTGGCTGCAGGAGCGCCAGGCCCAGCTCCACCACTCGCTGCCCCTGCAGAGCTTCCTGTTGAAACCTGTTCAGCGCATCCTCAAGTACCATCTGTTGCTACAGGTTCGCTATGGCCCTTGGGGGTTGCTTGGTGAGGGGCCAGGTTCTGCCCATGGACCACCTGGTGGTGAACCAGGACAAGCTGGGCAAGGCCTGGGGAGGCATGTGGTCCCTACACACTGGGTCAGTGTTTGGGGTGGGTCTTGCTGGCATCAGCTGATTCCAGGTTTTCTTCCTGTTTGTCTCTCTTCGTCCCTGGGTCTCCCATCTCTGCCTCTACCTTTCTATTTCTCTCTGTCTCCTATCATTATCACTCTTTCTCTGTTTCTCTTTTCCTCCTTGGGTGCCCGGTTGCTGCCTGGCAGGAGCTAGGCAAGCATTGGGCGGAGGGCCCTGACACGGGGGGCCGTGAGATGGTGGAGGAGGCCATTGTGTCCATGACAGCGGTTGCCTGGTACATCAACGACATGAAGCGCAAGCAGGAGCATGCTGCACGCCTCCAGGTGCCTCCAGGGTGGGCTGGATGGGAGGAGTGGGCGTGTGGGCCATGGGAGGGGGGTGGTCAGTACTTCAAAGGTAACCCCAGAGGGTGTGATTAGACAGCACGGCCTGGTTGTTAACCCCCTCGTGTTGGCATGTATCTGCTGCCCTTCGGTGTGTTTCTGTGTCCTGTGCACCTGGCGGGATGCCGGCAGGAAGTGCAGCGGCGGCTAGGTGGCTGGACCGGCCCGGAGCTCAGTGCTTTTGGGGAGCTGGTGCTGGAAGGCTCATTCCGCGGTGGTGGAGGGGGCGGTCCCCGCCTTCGAGGGGGTGAGCGGCTGCTCTTTCTCTTCTCACGGATGCTGCTTGTGGCCAAGCGCCGGGGGCCGGAATACACCTACAAGGGTCACATCTTTGTGAGTTCAGGGATGGGAATGGGGCTGGAATGTTACCTACAAGCGATATTCTGTGTACCTGTACCTGCACCCCTAAAGGGGTGGCCAGGGGCAGGGCCTCCAAGGAAGGACAGCTTGAATTAAAAGAGCCACATACTCTTGAGGCTGAGGGTGGGGCAAAGTGCAATAAGGAGGGGTGAGGCCAGCAGGATGCACAGGGGAGGGACCTGGATTTGCCCACCAGGCAGGTGTCTTCAAGGGGAGAAGCACATCTTAGTCCAGGTGAGGGTAGGGAGGGTTGGTGAGGGAGAGCAGAGCCCAGCCTGGTGAGGGGTCAGTGGGGGAAAGAGGACCCCCATACAACCATACAGGGACCCACATACAAGGGGCGCATTGCTGGGTCCAAGGACTCTGAGCCTGCCGCCCCTTCTGCTCCCCCTTCCAGTGCTGCAACCTGAGTGTGAGCGAGAGTCCTCGTGACCCTCTAGGGTTCAAGGTGGCTGACCTGACCATTCCCAAGCACAGGTACCTGCTCCAGGTGAGCAGAGGGGGGTGGAGCGGGCAGGGTTCCCTCTAGCCCCTACACCTTACATCTGACTCTGCCCCCACCTACCCCGCAGGCCAAGAACCAAGAAGAGAAGAAGCTGTGGATCCACTGTCTCCAGAGCCTCTTCTTTGAGAACCACCCTGCCTCCATCCCGGCCAAGGTACAGCTGCCGTCACGGATGGCGGCCAGCACAGTGCCGGAGACACTCGCCCTCCCGCCCCCCCAGCAGTTCCAGAAGACCCTGAGTTCAGGGAACCCTCTTAGAACATGACAGTTACATTGTAGAGTAGGCTGCCTGGGTGTGAATCCCAGCTCCACCATGTCTCTGCTTTGTGACTTTGAGCAACCTCTCTGAGCTCAGTTTACTAACCAGCAGGGGTAATAGCATCGACCTCACGGGGCTGTGATGAGGATTAACTATCATCGGTCATGTAATATGCCTGTCGCGTAGCAGCACCCATCACTGGGACTAGGACTGGGGTGCCCAGAGACCGGCCCATAACCCTCATCTTTGTGTCTTTCAGGCAAAACAAGTTCTCCTTGAAAGCAGCCTGTACTGTGAGTTTGGGCCTTGGGTGAGAAGGTATGGAAGTAGAGGAATTACTTTCAAGAGAACGTAGACTATTAGCCCCAAATCTCTCCCCACAGGTGCTCCTAAAAGTAAGCCTGTCCCAGAGCCCGTGACACTCCTACTTGGGTCTCCCCGACCTCGAGATGCTAGAAGTTTTACCCCTGGACGAAGGAACACAGGTAAAGGGGATGGAACCCGGAGTCGCACTCCCCGCGTCTCCCCCAGGACTCAGGAATTGTACCCTCAGCGCCCCCCTCTCCCAGAAGCCTGGGGCTGGGCTCCTAAGTTTCTCCTCTGCCTCTTCCACAGCCCCGTCTCCAGCCCCCTCCACTACGCGCCGTGGCCGCAGACAGTCCGGTGAGTTCCCCCCACTGAAAGGTCAACTAGGGATTGGGGTGGGAGCTGGGCCCCTAACGTCAGTGTGTCCTCTCCCCAGAGCCAGTGAAGGACCCATACGTCGTGTTGCCACAGCACAGTAAGTGGTCGCCCAGCCCAGCCAGGTCCAGCCCTGCCTGTGTGTTTCTTCCCGGGGAGGTCCAGTTTTCATGGGCGGGGGGTGATCGGGCAGCCCATCAGCCACAAGGAGTAGCAGTTATTCCTGTATCTCACTCTTTTTCTCATCTCTCCATTCTTAGCTAAGCCTGGACTCAAGGTAAGCAGTCTCTTGGGACGGGGTCTCGGGACCCAGACTCGGGGAAACTTGAGTTCTAAACTCCTGGGTCTGAATAAGAAAGGGGCTGGGGGCGGGTTCCTCCATCTGAGGGATAAGGGGCTGGGGGCCCTCGGTGCTTGCCCTCCATCCTTTGCTTCCTCGTAGCATGCTGGCAGTGAGGGGGAGCTCTACCCTCCCTTAGAACCTCAGGGACGGGGCCCAGCTTCTGGACCCACTGAGGACTTGGAGGACACTGGACCTCCCGCGCTGGATCCCTCTGGGACGTCAATCACTGAAGAAATCCTGGAACTGCTGAACCAAAGAGGCCTCCAGGATGCGGGGGTGAGCTGGGCATCCCGTCCCCGTGTCCTTAGGGCTCTGCTCATGGGCAGGCACAGACCAGGGACCAGGGTGGCCAACCCACTGTGATCCTTGGTCTCTTCCCCAGTGCTCACTACAGCCACCCCCCAACGACATTCCCAAGTTCCCAGGAGACTCCCAGGTGCCAGGTGATGGCGAAAGCTTTGCATTCCCAGCCCTGCCCAATCAGGACTCTTCAGAGGAGGAGGAGGAAGAGCTGGAGATGGATGAACGGGGCCCTTCCCCACTCCACATCCTAGAGGGACTCGGAAGTCCCAGTGCAGCTGAAGTTCCCGACATTCCTGGCCTTACCAAAAACCCTGCTGTGCCCAACCTCCCTGAAATGTCCAGCCTTTCTGAAATTCCCCCACTTCCCCGCCTTCCCAGTCTCTCTGACATTTCTAGTGTTTTTGAAATGCCTTGCCTCCCAGCCATACCCAGTGTTCCTGAGATTGCTGCCTCCCTCCCCTGTGACGCCTGGCTGCAGGGCTCTCTGCGGGAACCGGGCGAGGCTCTAGCCACCAGGAGAGAACTGATCTCTGGAGGCAGTTCTGGAGAACTGGGAGGGCCTTCCTCAGGCAGCCAAGCAGGGCAGGAGGAGGAGGAGGAGGAGGAAAAAGGGGTATCGTTTCCTGATTTCCGGCCCCAGGATGGCACCCGAGATGAGGGATTCCAAGATGAGCTGGAATTCCGCTCTTGCTCAGAAATCCGGAGTGCCTGGCAGGCTCTGGAGCAGGGGCAGTTGGCCCGGCCTGGTTTCCCAGAGCCGCTTCTGATTCTGGAAGACTCTGATCTGGGTAGAAGCAGCAGGAGTGGGAAGGCTGGCGTCCCCATTGCGGAGCGGGCCGCGTCCCGCGTGCGAGAGCTGGCCCGGCTTTACAGTGAGCGGATCCAGCAGATGCAGCGGGCTGAGACCCGGGCATCAGCTAATGCCCCCCGCCGCCGGCCGCGGGCTCTGGCCCAACCCCAGCTGTTCCCTTGCCTGCCCCAGGAGCAGGCTGAGCCAGGTAAGGTCCAGATACGTGGTCAGCAGAGGTGGCTCACACTGAGATTCCAGTCCTGATTCATTCCTTTCTTTGCATACAGGGCCCCTGCCTGCCTTTGGACATGTGCTGGTATGTGAGCTGGCCTTCCCGCTGACCATGGCCCAGGAGTCTGTCCCTCTGGGCCCTGCTGCCCATGTTCAAGCTGCTGCACCCCTATCTAAACAGGCAGGCAGCCTGGGTGGCCAGGGTCTAGATGTCTCCAATTGGCCTGAGCAAGACCATCAGGGCATCCAGATTCCAGCTGCTACCACTTTGCCTGAGCAAGGCCTCTGGGTTCCAGCCACCACACCTTTGCCCGAGCAGGAAGACCTGCCACATGTTCAGGTTCCGGCTGTTGGAGCTCCACCCGATCAAGAAGGCCACCTGGAAATGCAAGTTCCGGTTACCAGCCCTTTGCCTGAGCGTAGAGGCCACAAGGATATACAGCTTCCAGCTACCACTGCTTTCCCTCAGCAGGGATGCCAGGTAGACATCCAAGTTCCAACCACCCCAGCCTTGCCAAAGCAGGGAACTTGTTCTCATGTCCCAGTTTTAGCCACCAGTCCTGTGCCCAAGCAAGAAGGCCACCTAGACTACCAGAGCCCAGACAACACCCCGTTAACAAAGCAAGGAGGTTCCAGGGATGTTCAGTCCCCAGCCACTGCCGGCAGCCAAGCCATCGACCCTTTGCTTCCGAGTGGAAGCAGTCTGGACCCTCGGATCCCAGCCAACAACGCAATGCCCTTGGAACATGACCTCTCAGACATTCAGCTTCCGGATACCTCACCTTTGCCTACATGTGGGGGCCACCTAGACTGTCGGGTCCCAGCCGGTGCTTCGTTGTCTTTGCCCCCGGACCTCCCAGACGTTCGGGCTCAGGCTGCCACAGGTTGGCCCCAGCCCCAAGGCATCATGGACACAAGGATACAAGCATCCCTGCCTTTGCCCAAGCAGGGGGGCCTGCCAGACCCTCAGGGTTCCACTGCTGTCCCTTTGCTTCAGGAGCAAAGCCTCACAGACCTCCAGGCCCCAAAACCTGCACCTCAGTTGGAGCAGAAGGGCCTCCCGGACATCAGTGTTCCAGCTGCCACACCTCTGCCTGAGCAAGGAGGCTCTTGGGACACTCAAGGCCTGTCACCCACCCCTACACAAACCACTGTGATTTTGTTCAAACCAGGAGGCCACTTAGCCTCTCACGTTGCCAGGTCAGAGTGTTCAGACTTGACTCCACCTCACAGTCCCCCACCCCCAACCCGTCAGCTCCTGGGCCCCAGTGCAGCGGCTCTGTCAAGATACCTGGCAGCCTCGTACATCAGCCAGAGCCTAGCTCGGCGTCAAGGGCCTGGGGGAGAGGCCCCCCCAACCTCCCGGGGTCCTTGGTCTTCTGCCCCCACGTCACGGGCACCTTCACCACCGCCCCAGCCCCAACCCCCACCGCCCCCGGCCAGGAAGCTCAGCTATGCCACCACAGTGAACATCCAAGTCGGGGGTGGCGGGCGGCTGCGGCCAGCCAAGGCCCAGGTCAGGTTGAACCACCCTGCTCTGCTGTCCTCCACCCAGGAATCTGTGGGCCTTCGCAGAGTCCAGGGGGCTCCTGATGCCCCTTTCCACATGTGAGCTGGGATATCGGGCTTCTTGAAAAGCAAGGACTTCAACCACATGCTGCAGACTCAGAACTTCACTGAAGTTGGCTTCAAACACTGAACACAAGCCTGAAACTGCCGCAGCTTCCTCCTCCTGGGGTCTGCTTTGCCAAATGGGCCTTATTACTTACCCTGATTAACAGGGATGGGAGAGGGGGTCATTAATATTTTGTTAATATTATGAAATTATGTCTCTTTTCCAATTCTGGAGATGGGGGGAGGGTAACAAGATAACAATGACTGGGGTGGGAAGGTCTGTCACAGCACAGCTGGGTTCTGAAAATTTGGAGAATCTCACTCTTGAGATGTCCCGGAAACAGGACCCATGACAAACTGCTGTATGATTTCAGAGGGTTTATGAACCACTTGCTGCCCACCTGGAAAAGCCAAGTTAAGAGGCTTTGTTCCAAGGAGAAATTCATTCCTTTAGCAGTTCACCCAGTTCATGTGTTCCAGCACCATCCATTTAACTCAGGCACTCGGCTGTCTCGTGCACCCATGCTGCTGTGTCCATCTGCTTCATCCGTCTTCCTGTCCATGTCACCCATGTGCCTCAGTTCATTCATCTCCTCCTCTCATCATGCTACGGCCCCATCTAGCATTCATCTCTTTGTCAGTCCCTTGACCCATCTCTCATCCCACCTGTCCATCTCCACCCAGCCCTTACGTCAGCCATGTGTCCCTCCGTATCTCCATCTCTGTCAGCCGTACATCTTACACAACCATCACCTAAGCCATCAAGGCGACCGTCTCGACCACCTCCACCCTTAACTGGAGTCTGCTTGGTCTTGGTAACTACAGAAATTCAGACAGCTCCAGGCTAACACCAGAGTGGATTGAGTTTTGAGATTCTGAGAAAAGTCTGTCCCCATCTGTCTGACTTCTCCCCACCCTCATGAATAGCCCAGTTCCTGTGCTCACCCACACCCTCGGATCCCTTCCCCCCTTCTCTAGTTTGAGACCTTTACAAAGTGCTTCATGGCGCCCACACACACACACACACACACACACACACAAATTTGGGTCATAGAGACAGGCTTTTATATCAGGATCCTGTGCCCTCCCAGCCATGGCACACCCCGTGAGACGCATAACTTGGTCTCTTTGGTAATACCTTCTTTCATTGAACACTTAGCCCCTTGTGCTTCAGCACATTATCTTACTGGACCTTCCCTGTGTGTCTGAGGCAGCAGTGTCATGGCTGAGCTCCAGTCCCAACTTCCTTAGTGTGTGACCACCTTCTGTGCCTGGTTTTCTCCTGTACAGTGAGGACAGACATACTGGTCTTACAAGATCACAGTGAAGAGTCAGTGAGGGGATCTCCAATTCCCAAGTGTGTCTGAGCCTCTGACGAGCTGGTGCACTGTTTGAGTCACAGATGCCCCAGGATCTAGTTCAGTTTATGGAATCAGAACCTCCAAGGCAGGAACCTTAGGAATCTGAAGTTTCAGCAAACAATTAACAGCAGCAAAAAGCTGAGTTTTATTGGTAATAATGGCATAGCATGGGCATTAGTCACTTTGTATGAACTCATTCATTTTGAGTCCTTACAATAGCCCTAAATGGCAAGTGAGGATTTTAATCCTCACTTTAGAGATGAGGAAACTGAGGTAAAGATTAGGTAAGGGACTTGCCCAGTCACACAGGAAGGGGCAGAGCTGGGACTCTGTCCCCATAGCTCAGGCCATCCATTGGCATTACTGAATGCCGATCCCATGCCAGGCACTGTCTTTGTCACTGGGAGCCACAAGGAACACTGCCCTGCCCGCTTGAGGCACAGGCTGGCACTCCAAGGGCCTTAGGTGATAAGGCAGCCAGGACAAGGCCTGGCTCAATAAATGTTAGCTGCTGGCTTTTACTCAGTTTGAACGGTTGTCATGCCCTATAGCCGGGCTGGGCCTGCTCCTCTGCAGCCTCCACAAGGTCAGGATAGATGCTGGCCCTCCCCTCCTCCGCCCCAGCTGCACATTCCCAGCCACCCCCAGCTGTACATTCCCAGCTGAAGGAAAGTTCCCAGCCTGACTTGGGCTCCCAGCGGCGCCGGAATTCCCGGTATTTGAGGAGGCGTCAGGGAGGGAGAAAGGGGCTGTCTACTCCAAGGCCTGGAGCGGGGAAGGAGAGGCAAGTGCCCTAGCTCCTCCAGATGCGTCCCAGCTGTGCCTCTGGGAAGAAGCCAGGAGCCTCAGTAAGGGTGGGGAATTGGGGACTGTTTCTGGGTCCTGTGGGAAAAGCATGGGTACCACCAGGTCCACCTTAGCCCCTCCTGGTGTCTACCCCTGAATTCTATCAGGCCAGCCTGCAGAACCATAGCCCAGTCCCAAAGCCTCCTCAGGAAAAACCTTTCTTGTTTGTCCGCAGCCTGTCTGTTGTAAGCCCACTCTTTAAAGCCGCAGCAAAATCAGGCTCAAAGAGGGAGGGGTGGGTGGGTTGGCTGCTGCCCTCCTTGGGAGGGTTAGGTCAATGCCAGTCACCCAAACGCCAGTTCCCATGCAAAACTTGGTGAGTGGCATTTTATTTTGCTACTAGCCTCATTTTCTCATTTGCTAACAAGACACCTGCCTGACACCAACCTCAAAGAGATACTGTGAAAATACGTCCAACGACGCTTCGCCTAGCACCTAACTGCTCATTTAACCCACTCAACATCACCAAGGACTTGACAGTCACATGCCATATAAGGTTTCCGTGAATGGCGTACTGCACATAAATTGGTAGTCCCCTAAGATTATAAAAGAACTGAGATTCCTATTGCTTGATGTAGCCTTTGTAATACAGTGCAATGCAGTTCTCAAATACCATCGTTACAATTGCCTACAGTATTTGGTATAGTAATATGTCCGCTAGGTGTGTAGCCTGGAGACTGGGGGAACAGAATTTGTCACTTCAAAATATGCCTATTTGGCGTAACGTTTATTTCAGGCTGGTGAAATTTTTAAGAAACAGCAGGTATAGGGGCCCTGGCTGGCGTAGCTCAGTGGATTGAGCACGGGCCTGCGAACCAGAGTATCGCGGTTCGATTCCCAGTCAGGGCACATGCCTGGGTTGCAGGCCAGTTCCCAGCAGGGGATGCATGAGAGGCAACCATACATTGATATTTCTCTCCCACTCTTTCTCCTTCCCTTCCCCTCTCTCGAAAAATAAATAAAATATTTTTAAAAAAAAAGAAACAGCAGGTATAGGGAAAGCTCTGAAAACCAAGTTAGTCTCTGCGAAGGACATTTACATAAGGGAGCTCTCCATTTGTAAGGGTCCCCCTCACTGTACCACGAAGAGCAGGATGATGGGACTTCAGAGTTAACCTCACCTTTGGTTACCGTGCTTTCTGGTCATCTCCCATAACACCTCCCCACCCGTTGTGTTTTGTCTCCAACTGAAAAAACTATTAAGTGCACTGGACAATGTTCATGCAACAAAACAAAATTGCCTACCCACACGTTTCTCACTAACGAAGCAGTGCATGACAACTTGGAAGGAAAACGTTCTCACCTGTGCAACCCAGCTCGGTAGCCACATGGAGCTGCTGGGTAGGGCAGAGATACAACAGGGCAACTGGGCAGTAAATCTGTTTCTTCTGCTATAAAAATTTGTTTAACTTCACCGCTCAATCAACGTTCTAAGGCGGTAAAATGTTGCAAGTACTCCCAGCAGGGGGAATATAGTGGGACTCCACTCGGCAGACATCCGGGATACCCAGGTTGGCTGCGAAGACGAGACTCACGTGGAAGCAGAGGTGCCTATCCCAGAGCGACAGAGCTCACTAGCTCCCAACAAAAATGGAAAGAAAAACTAAAGGCAACTAATTTCACAAGTAACACAACGTTGGCCCCTTGTATCTGCAGGTTTTGAACCCCCCAACATGGAACTCTGCACTGGACGTGGAGGGCTAAGGGACTTGAACATCCCTGGATCTTGCTATCACGGTGGTCCTGGAAGCACTAGCTGTACTTGTACGTGCACATCCCAGAGAAATTTCCTCAATGGTGGAAATGTCACATGCTGTAGCCCAGTGGTAGCAACTGAGAACCCACCACATGTTGGCTTTTATTACACAGCAGGCACACCATCTAAGTCCTCAGAGCCATGTTCTGAGCCCCACGAGGATGGTTACATTGAACATAGCTGGGACTTGCTTTAAGGGTGCCTTGGGGACCTCTCCCCAGAACAGTGTTGATATCCTGGAGGAAGCCAGGCAAGGGGAATCCACCCCATTCCCCGACCCTGTGGGCTTCACGGCCCACAGTTGCTGACTTCAGACTCCACCCACAGTTTTCCCTTTCTTTGTATTAAAAATTACAGATAGCACACTCCCCTGCTTTCCCCAGTAATGCAATTTAAACAACAGCAAAGAAACAGAAAAAGATAAAAACGAAGTCATAAGGACACCCTACTCAACCAGTGGCCCAGAACCACCCCCATCCTGGCTGTGCCCGCAGGCCAAACAAACTCCACCACAGGTGCAGGGAGAGACCAGGTTGGCTCCGACCTGCCTTCCCACCCACACCAAACCCAGAGTGGCGGCTTCTGGCTTAAAATCCAGACTAGCAACAGGCTGGACACATTTCCTATCATTCTTTTCGCCGAAAACCCACCACAAAAGATAACACAATCCATGAAACCTTAAAACCCACGATCACTTTATTATAAAGGCAAAAACTCTGATGGGCTTATCGGTAGGATTTCTGGTAGCGAGCACGGGCACCAGGACCTCCGAACTTTTTGGATTCGCAGCGACGAGGATCCGCTACCAGCAGGGTCCGGTCATACTGGATTAGGATGTCTTTGATCTCTTTCTTCGAAGCCTCATCCACATCTGGAGATGCGAAATGGGGAAAGACTCAGACAGCTATAGAAGCATACACCTACTCTCTGAAGCTAAATGAATGCCAGACCTGGTCCTTGATTTGCCCTCCACCACCCACCCACCTGTTGGGAAGGACCCATTCCCACTCACATTTCTGATAATAAGCCACCAGGGCTTTGGAGATGGACTGGCGGATTGCTGTAAACATACAAAAACAAAAAAAAAACAAAAAACAGTGTATCAGTTTTGTGACAGTCCAAGGGAAGGGCCTTGCTCCCAGAGCTACCTCCCACTCAGTGTCTAGTTCCTGGGACTCACCATAAATCTGGGCCACATGACCACCACCCTTCACGCGGACTCGGATGTCCACGCCGGCAAATCGCTC